TCAGCGGGCCACAGCAGCAGCCCGCGAAAGGCGCGCTCGGTCCCACACGCCAGACACGCTAAAAAGGCGCGGTCGCCAATGGGTTAAACAATTTTTCCTGATTAAAAGGTTAGCGATAATTGCATTTTTTTGAATCTAATTTGTGCGCGACGCCACTGCTTGAACGCGGGCCGAAGTCATCCAGGAAGTCCGGCACGCAGCAGTAGACGTGAAGGAATCTGACATGAAAGTCACCGTCATCTGAAGAATTTTGAAGATCCCGCAGCAGGCGATCTCTTTGATTATCCAGCGTTATCGGGTCAGGAACTCTGTTTGCAATGCTGAGAAGACAGGAAGACGCCGATTCACCTCATCAGCACTGGATAGGCGGATCATACGTAGGTCGAAGGCTGACCTTTGCCTCGCTGTGGCTGAAATCTCCGCTGATTCCAGCGCTATCCATTGCACCAATCTTAGTAAGAGGACTTTAGAAGGACGCTTAACAGTGCTGGTATTTATGGGAGGCGTCCAGCCAAAAAGCCGCTCATCAGGTCGAGGCGTGCGCTCTACAACTTCAACTGAACCTCGACTGACTGAAATAAAGTTCTTTTTTACAGATGAGAGTAGTTTGTTCGGGAGCAATGGCATAGGGTAGGTGTGTCCACCTGGGGAAAGATTTAATCCAAAGTACGTCTTACCCACAACCAAGCATGGTTGAGAAAGTTTGATGGTATACGGTGCCTTCTCCCCGAACGGGATGGTCTCTATTTTGGAAATTGATGGTACCATGACAGGGGAGTGCTAAGAAAATTATGATGATCGGCATCGTTTGCCGTGGGTACAACAGCACGCGCCAGCAGGATGGGTTTTACAGCAGGCAGCAGGACAACGGTGCGAAGCACACCTCAGTGGTTGTGAAGGAGGCCTTCGGCCAATAGACAGTCAGGCTTCTGGAGTGGCCAAGCCAGTCACCGGACCTTGTTGTGGCGTTGTGCGAACAAACCTTGTAGAAACAGTTAAGGAAAATTTGATCATTAGCAGAGGAGTGAAACGCCATGCCATGCCTACCATCCAAAAACTGGTCGACCTTATCCTCCCGTTGCGCTGCTGTTATCAAGAGTCGAGGCTTGCCTAACAAATAGTGATAATTTCGGTGTTTGACGTTGTTATTGTGCTAGCTGTATTTTCCACCGAATTTGAGTTAAATCTCACGAATGTACGGTGAACAAATGCAAATTGTTGTTTAACAGTGGGTTCCTGCGATTTCATGAAGTAGTTAAAAAGATACGATTGAAAGAGCGTATCACCGAAGACTTTTGACCGCTACTGTATATATAAAATTACTTCATACACTTAACTGTTACCACGTTGGAGCTTTTAGGTCTGGAAGACTATAAATGGTTTATTCTCGCTGCAGTACTACTTCTCATTCTTCTGTTAATATGTGCTACGATAATGCCTTTCCTAATCGCCAAAGAAGTGAGGAGAAGGCAAACGTACACGAAGGACGGCTACCCACGGGCACCGTATCATTTGGAAAAAGAGTCGAAAAAAATTCTAGCAGGATGGGTGAAGGTTAGCATCGAAGATTTTATTGAAAAGTTTGGGGATGCTCCATTTGTTCGCGTATAAGTTTGGCAGAACTACATATCTATGCGACATGTCGATCCCTTACCGTAATAGCTTTTATGTGAACCAGACTAATTCCCTTGCCTTATTCCCTAAAGTTGTTTCGGGGAGCGTGGCAATGGTATTTCGACCAGGTATTGGTTTCCAGGGTGGAGGTGGTGTAGTGGCAAGTGGCGCACTCACATGCATGGTCAGAGGTTCGATATCTGCCTAGACCAACCAAGTCTTCCAACCATCCAGGGTCGGTTAATTGAAACCAAACTATTTTGGGAGGATAAAAGCACGGACTTATACATCGGCTGGCTACCACAAGTCACTGTATACGCATACGCACTCATACGCCACTTCGATTCTGAATGGGGGTCGAGTGCGGAGGCGCATCCCTCAGACGGAATTGATTTACGTCAAAAACTTTATCCTTATAAATTTATTAGGTCTCCAATATGTCCACTGCGTCACCATTGCTGAGCTGAAGGCAGTCTGAGTATCCGTACAAGCTAAGACTTTGAAAGATTGAAATAGTCGCAACAGGAGAGAGTTAAACCGCAGATTTGACTCATTTCTGTTGACACCATCCAGCGTAAGCTATCTGATACTGATCCCGTGAAACCAGCGTTGAACAGAATGAAAGACTTGCCCAACTGAGAAGGGGCCTCGAGTGGATGACGTGGGTATATATGACGGACGCATTTCAATGGTAATTCGAGTGCGGGGTGCATCGTCAGGCTACACACTTCTAGGACAATGGCCTCTTTTCTGCCGCGCAGGGTCGCTGTGACGTCCCTTCGCACGTACCGCGTACGCCCTCTGATGCGCTTTTTCCTGGACCCTCCCAGAGCAATACAAGCTCATGTTTGTGCGGTTTTTGCCCTAGTTTAGTCATGTGCAGTTGTAGGTTAAGCTGTATCTTCATTCAATAGTATCTTCATATACGTTAATTCAGGAAATTACAACCAAAAACCCTCTCATCTGGCGATGTTCGGATAGGCCAGTCATCTGGTCGTATCAGAAAGGAGAAGGGACACGTGAGCTTTGGTAGAATGGAAATAAAATTGACATTTCAAGAATTCTATGGAAGCTTATGGTCATGCTAACGAGATCTGCCGTTGTCTACGCTGGCATCTACTCTTCATTAATGGGATCTCGATAAGCAACGGCCCACGAATGTCAAGAAGTGCGAAAATGCCATCTTCTCTGGCTTCTCGGTTATACTAGTAGTTGAGTCTGCTAATGCCACGAAAATGACGGCTCTCTGAGTGGTCATTCTACCGCTTTTGCTGCTTCTGCGTCTATACTTTGCAACTGCAACTTGTACGCTATACATAAATATCGACTACAACTCGCAGTGCACCATTACGTCTCCATCGAGGATAGTGTCATTTATGATCCTTCTATTCATAAACGTTAGCAAACATAAAGACATAGTTCACGATAATTTTGGGGAGCCCTTTCTATGTTGAAAGTGGAAGTTTTGATGTAGAGGAGTACATCGGCGGCGAAGAAAGTTTGAAAATTCGCCTACTTCGAGCTTTTCAAAAGTAGTGGAAGTGAGGTTGTACGAGAACACCGTGATGGGAATGTAATGTGAGGGTATTTGGACAAGATCTAATTTGGTTCCATTGCGCAATGAGATGACAACACCAAGCCGAACTTGTCCGAAACTGCCTTTCACTATCGCCATGGGTTATGACAAGTTCTTAGAACTTCTTACATGGGAGTCTCTTGAGATAGTGCAGCTTCTACAAAGCCGTTGGAACTCGTCCACTATGGGTGTGGCATTCACACAAAACAATCCCTGGCCCCTTATTGTGCCCCTCTATCCAGTTTTTCGAGCTTATGACGGCGTGTATGGTATGAGGGGAAGCCTTGAATTCATACTATAGGGAAATTTCAGAAACCATTTTTGTCGTGAACTGTGCCTTTGAAGTGGCCGACCATTGAGTCTCGACAACGGTTCGTACTCAACGAACTTGCAGGTGTTACCAAAGCAGTCATCGTATAAACAGATATACGTTTGCCGCTTTGATGACCCGCACACGCAAGCTTGTAGAGTATGAACGGCACCCACGCCATGATTAACAGTTGGAAACAAGAAAACTGATGCTTTTCACTGGATTATCCCCTTCTGAAGATTACGGTATTGAACATCGCGTTAGATGTCTCTGCAAAGCGTCATAAGGGATAACTGGCATGTACACGAAAATGTCGTCTCAAAGATCATCTAAAGCTGAAACCTGAGAAATAACGAAGCAGGATGGTTCTAGGCGGCTTCCTCTCATAAAGGAATAGGCAATATTCAGTGAAGAGAACCTGTGTTGTTGAATTTATTGGTGCTGTTGTTCAGATAAGGACATTGATGTCTTGGTTGCAAACAATGCCTCCTTCCTAAAGCATCATATGCTTCCGCTTGCAGCCGTAAGTTTACAATGATTTCATGAAATGGCTTTCGAAGGAAGGATTTAAGACACTGGCGTGTTTGGTGCACAGTGATTATCACTGCGAGGCAGACACGCCTCTAGGCGCTGCCTATTGATGGGTAGACGAGCTGCGCAAACGTAGCAATAGGCACTCGACAAACCACCAATAGCAGTGCAGTGGAGTACATCCATCTTCGCTACTTTCACTTCTTACTGCAGTTGCAGCGATGAGAAGGAAGAAGTCGCGGTGCAGTTGGCTCAGTGCCGAGCTAAAGACCTAGTACTTTCAGAATTGCCGAATTCCACCCAAAGATAACTTCCTATTGTGTGAACGCATTAAAACGTTGCTGTCAAAGGACGTGGTTATCATGATTGGTGGCGAGCGCAATCCATCCTGTGTATTGCCTCATCTTCCTCATCAAGTCAAAAAGTCCCATACATACAAGTGTGGGTCCTGCACATTTCTCATATCCTATCCAGACTGAACAACACCCCAAAAGTGTGCTAGCACGGGACTTCGATCAGAAACTGATTTTCAGATCTCGGCTCAACATACTCGTTTACGTTGACAAAGCTCAAAAAGGTGGCTCCATTCACAACGGCATATACTTACGATGTTGAGAAAGCTCCAAAAGGAAAACCTGTAGAAAAGAGTAAACGGACGATTTACTATTTCAGATGGTAAGTATTTCAAGAGAATGGTCAGGGGTTGCATCGTTAGTAAGTCAATTGATTTGATCCTGCTGAAGCTAAACCGACCAGTCTTGTTGCTTATTTGGCAGTCGCGGATGATTTGTTCGTAATAATGTTAGGAAACAATTTTCGAACCTTTTCTCGGAGGCCTTCCTCGGAATAGTCGGTACAGACTATGTCAATGAAAGCACCACATCATTTTCCTGATTGGCTTGAGATACATACAGTTGATGCAACAACGAGGACACGGTGTTATATGGCGTGAATGCGCGTGCCGAGACAACTACTTAAGGCTGAGCGCGCGCAGTGGGTAGAAAGGCACCCACCGGGCCGTGTAGGGTGACCTAAAAGCGATATCAATGCTGCAAAGAAGTGAACTGTCGATTCTTGAGTTACGCTCCCTTTCGATTAGCATCCACTTATAATTCGATCGGCAAACATGAAGTGAAAGGTATTTTATACGCTCCACCTCTTCCGTTATTGCTTGGGCAAAACGTAATTTGAGTCGGCTATTCGACGAGTGGCTTCGTTCAGAGTTTGCGTTCGCACCGCACCAAGCGAGCGTGCTGAGCCGTCTGTGTTGAATCGATACCGGTTATTTGAATGTGGTGGCGAGGCGTAGTGAGCTCAGATGCACAGCGCCAATGCCAACGCAGATTCTGAAGTCAGCCACTGATCTACGGTGGCAATGATCTACAGTCAAATCCAATCAATTTCTTTTGTCTCGATTCTTGCGCGAAGCGCACGGTGATGATTTGTTCTCCTCAATCCGCCGCCATATCCCTGATCGCTTTTTCGCCAATTTCGTTTTAGAGTCATAATCGTTCACTTGTTTTTTCACTTCAACGAAATGAATTGCTTCTGAAGCATGATTGAGTGAATAGGTGCTTAGAATGGAACTCTCGTCTCTGATTTCATTTTAACGGTCTTTGTGGTTATATGTTTTATGTTTGCAACCATTTCACTTACAATGTTCAAAAAAAAGTGAATTAAAGTCGCAATAAAAGTGCTATGATATCGCCTAGCCGGTCCAGTACTTCCCTATTGTTCGTATTGTACTTTGTAAAGAATCCGTGTTCAAGGTAGCCACCGAGCAAAAGTAGATTATATTGTTTCCTCTCTTAGCTTTGCGTATCCACACAGCAGCCCTCATCTGCCTTAGTGACTGTGAACGGGTAATTTTTAGGGATTACGTTCGGTTGCCAGTGGAATTCGATGAAATTTTGCAATTGGCAATGCTGTACAAACCTGGCAAAACGGTATGCAGCATAATGTTATGCTTTTTTTACGGAAATGAGAACTCTGTCAGTTTTTTCAGGTATGTGTTAGTGATCGAAGAAAAGAGGTGTTTTCGTTGATACACATGCTTCACACGTTTTGTCACACGCTACAGGAGAATATAGGCTTCGTGGATGCCTTACAGCTTCACACTGGTTTGTTTTCCTTAAGTTTCCAGCTTCTGCTGTAATGAGAGTGCATTTACACTTCGCGGCTAACTGGTCAGCTGGCACGTAGAGAGTGCATTTCGGTCGGCGCTAAGCATTGCGCGCCCACTATCAGGGTGGGGATGAGTTCTACTTTTCTGGGCTCATGGTTCCCTTCCATACTCGTTCATACAAGAATACCGGCATGATGACTGGAGTATGGTTGGGCGTTCAAAAGGCTGAATCGAAATGAAATCTCACTTTGAAGGCTAAGACGTGAGAGGCAGCAGCATGCGAGAAAGCAAGCCTCAGCTGACGACGTCCTCGGTATCTGTTTGCGTTGGTGATATTATTCCTTTGTCTGAGGTTTTCAAGAGGAACTGGGCATATCGGCGGGTAGCTTTTCGACGTCATCGTCGTCTTCCTGAGCCAGGTTTCCAATCAGGAAGTGGACAGAATTCGCTGTTGCTACAGGCGTCTGTCATCAAAAAATTCTGTCCTCAATTGAGCTTTGGAATTCCGAAGACCACGATTACGTCGAAAACATTAGGCTGATGGTTCAATGAATAGATCCACTTGAAAACGTTGAACGGCAGAGGAATATGACCAACGCGAACAGTGAGGCGACATCTTCCCCACGACAGCACAACTTTCTCTGTTGCCTTTTTGGCATTTTGTTGCTCTCGCGACGGTCCTTCTTTCTCACTAACAAGGAAGGTCTTCCAAGGCCTGGGACGCTTTTAAAAATGGTTTTTCGCATGGTGTAGGGGCATGAGCACTGAGTGTAGAACTATGGTCCATTTCCACTGAATGGCCTTCTGAATGCCAAAAAAGGAATAAAATGATTTCGTCAGAAACTGCCATTTCAACCCACTGAGCGTCGTTGCTTCATTCGTGGCGTCGACTGTCCGCACAGTAGAAGGCGCCAGTGGACTACGCATTGAAAATAACGTGAACGGTAGCCAAAAGAGGGAGTCACAGAAATGGAAAAGTGCGGGGAAGTTTCATATGTGCTCTTCACGGTTGAGCTGTTGGCAGCGACGGATGGTGTGGTGGATAGCGATGTGGACTTCGATTTGGGCGAATAGGCTGGGTTAATGGCTCAGATTTTCTGGGCGCCGCCGTTTTTGCATTTTATGCTGCCACCTCAACATTGGTTCCATATTGCGCCAGGGTCAAAGCGAGTGCCCGACTGATCATAGTCGTGACGTGGATCAGCAATAACCTATACAAGCCAGTAGAAGGATACTGTAGTCGCCACGAAGTAAAAAGAGTGAATTTCTAGTGGGAGGATACGGTAGTCAACACGGAAGTACTGCCGCTCGACGTGTGAATTCGATAGAAGTACCACCACCATCATCAGAGATGGACCACGGTGTAGTGGGTGTAAATGAACCGTAAGCGGCGATCATAAGGAATCTGACCTCTCCCAGCTTCGGGTGGTCGGCTTTTGGGTAACTGGCTCCCAAACTGGGATGAACCTTTGAATCATTTCCTCTTTCAGTGTATCACGCTGTATCTTACTCACCTGGCTTACTCGCGATTCACGAGAACCGACGTTGCGATTCTGTGCTGTGAGCGGCTGTTGCCACTGCTGGTCGTATTGGCGTTCTTCTTGAAGTGCCTATTGTAGACCTATTCATCGGCATGTCCGTCAGAAGTGCGCTGACCGACACACGACGAATCAATCGTTTTTTCCGCCGTTGTAACCGAAATTTTCACATGAAGATCACTGTGAACTTATAGCTCTTGCGACATCCTTCCTTCCAAAGTCACGGCATATGGGTGATTTACAACATGATGGCGACGTGGGGATACCCACATCATTCATCAGCTGTTACGTGGGTAGGCCAGGGAATATCCTTGGTGCCTCACAAGCACAGCCTAACTTCATCTGTGTCATAGCCCGCCCACATTGCAGAATGGTTGTGTGCGATACCGCTCACCCGCTTGTATGCGATTACATGAAGGTGATGGTCTAGGGGAAGAATAAGCTAGAGAGAATGGAGTGAGCGGGCACAGGGCGTACGTATAAATGCTGAACAATGAATTACCCAGAAATTTGCCGACCTTATGAATTCCTCCATGAATACGACCCCTCCTTTCCATAAAAAACCGTACGAACTCTACACGCGGATTCTACTTCCGCCCTAACCAAACCATGAACCTATAATCACACGTGTCCATGCTTACTCATTCTTGATCAGTTTTAACTGTAACAAATCCTCTCGCACATACACATGGGGCCAATCTGGAGGTGGCACCATAACATGCAAAAACGGCAGCGCCCAGAAAACCCGTACCATCAACCCAGCCCAACTCGAGGTCCACATCGTTATCCACCACACGATCCGTCGCTGCCAACAGCTCAACCGTGGAGAGCACATATGAAACTTCCTTCCAAGCACTTTACAACATGTGGCTCCCTCTTTTGGCTACCGTTCTTGTTATTTTCAATGGGTAGTCCACTGGCGAATTCTACTGTACGGACAGTCGACGCCATGAATGAAACAAACGACGCTCAGTGGGTTAAAACGGCAGTTTCTGACGAAATCATTTTCACTCTTTTTTGGCACTTAGAAGGCCATTTAGCGGAAATGGACCATAGTTCTATACTCAGTGCTCATGCCCCTATACCATGCAAAAAACCATTTTCAAAAAGCGTCCCACGCTCTGAAAGACCTCCCTTGCAAGAATGTATAGATCAGTAGTATGCTAGGAAATGTCATGGGATCTTGTTAGGAACACCGGGATCGCTGTGGGCAGCGACTGCTGCGATGTCTCGGCTCCTGCCCTCAACTGGACATTTCATATTCATCCAAACTCAAGATGCTATCCTTTAGAGTGTGCTGCGGGTTTGCGGAGTCGAATCCATTGTCTCCTATTTTGCTAGTGTTCACCATTATTGGCCATTCAAACAAAGGAATATGGGTCAGGACTCGCCACCACGGTCGAAACTTGATCACTGCGCTTGCAGCGAACTGGCTAATGATGTCAGGACTTCATTTCCTACAGATTGATTGTGAATGGTCCTAAAATGACTAGTTTACTGCGATAGCGTGTCCTGGCTCATGTTTTAATCAACTAATTCTGCGAAGCGCTTTTCCACAGCATTTGTTTGTTCTAAGCAATAATTAGTGGATAAGGCTCTCCTAAATCATTGGTCGGCTTTAGTCAACCGTTTATGTTCAGAGAAGTGCAATGGTAGCGTTTTGGATCGCGATGAACTAGTCTACGCTATGGCTGTCATTATGGAATGGGCATATCAGACACGCAGCGTCCCTCCTGAACTGAAGAAGGTTGGTGTAAACTTCTGTCTAGCGGTCCCAAGACGGATCGAAGACTTTAGGCACAATGGGTTATGCAGGTAGACATGAGCGATCAGCGGAGCCAAGCTTGTATCGAACTCGCGAAAGGGATTGGGGAGGTCGTGCTGACCAGCCAATCTTAGGCACGCCATGAAGGCCCTTCTCTTCAGTCGAATTGCTCGAACGAGCAATCCCCATGAACTCTTTCCTTCACGAAGCAAGTTCAAGCTTTTCATGGGGTATGGGAAGATCCTTGAAGATATCCAGGACTAAGAATGAGTCACCTTGCGCAGTTTTTGCCAACAGTTGGTGAGAGACCATTTTTTTAATTGAGAAGAAGTCCCATTCCTTTCTTATTTTCTTCTCCGCCGGTCTGTAGTCCTTCTTTATTGTTTCTCATACGTCCCGTTTACTCACCACAGTTATGAGATTGATAATAGAAAAGCAAATCAGTTTGGAGAGAAATGGTTTGAAAAGAAGTAACCCTAATGACTGAGCGGGAAGGATTTAGGGTGGGCTGAGGTGATCCCTCCCTGTACGTTGTGATGAGATTCCGGCGCAGGGGTCACACATCATCCCGATCTCTAGAAATCTGCGTGTAAAGAAGGATTTTTCAAACCTACGGAGCCTCTACGTACAAGTTCTATGTCGTCCATGCGCTGCTGAGAAATAGTATAAGGATCTTGTAGAAATGAATGTGCTCCTAGTGGGTTTTGGATGGGAAGTTTACGAAGTTTCTGCTGGGGAATCATTCACGATTAGTAGCGACCTCACTATTTAACAGACTGTGATTAATTCATATAATGGTTTAAATGATTCCCCAGCAGAAACTTCGTAAACTTCCCATCCAAAA